CAGGACCTAAGAAGCATTCAGTTCTGTGTGAGAGATTTCTCAGGTGACAGGTGGCTCTGGGCACGGCCCTCGCCGATTGGGTCTCAGCTCCTCATCGAGGCATTTTATGAGGCAGAGAAACAGGGCTTGTCTAATTCCATTTCGTTTGGGATGAAAGAGAAAGAGCTCACAACTTTCCTGGCGAGAATTCTAGAGCAGTGAAATGATAGACTTGCAATTCCCTCTGATATCTCAGCAAGTGAACTCATTTGATTGATTTCACGATAAAGGCAAAGTAAAATCACACCCTATAGGTGGAGGACATTAGAATACAACACTATGGATGTGAGCAACTTTTATCCTGCCGTGTATTCAGACAGAACTTCCTTCAAAGCAAGAGCCCGTTAACCAAAGAGGACCCAGCGTTGGGTGCTGATTCTGGGAGATGTGCTTGGAAAAATGTGTATGTTTATGTCATAGAATGGCTGGTGTTATAGACATATCCTTACTGTCAAAAAAAAAAGTGCATAAATATCAAGTGAAAAGGCACGATACAAAGCTGATCTGAAATAGTGGAGGGGTGCAGGACCCTAAGAATTCATACACATGGGATCTCCCAGCAGAGGGATGGGTTCTTTCAAAAGGGTAATGATGGTTTTGAAATGGAAAACTCACACTTGCCTCTGCTTGCAACTTTGAGCAAAATTCATTATGAAACCATTACAATTCTTTTTCTTTCTTTTTTTTTTTTTTTGGTAAAGACAGAGTCTCACCTTACTACCCTCGGTAGAGTGCCGTGGCATCACACCGCTCACAGCAACCTCCAACTCCTGGGCTTAGGGTGATTCTCATGCCTCACCCTTCCAAGTAGTTGGGACTATAGGCATCCGCCACAACACTGGCTATTATTTTGTTGCAGTTTGGCCAGGCCAAGGTTTGAATTTGCCACCCTCGGTATATGGGGCCAGCACTCTCCTCACTGAGCCACAGGTACTGCCCAGTAATCCCATTTTATTGTGGGCAAAGGACTTGAACAGAAGCTTTTCTGAAGAAGATAGGCGCACGGCCTACCGACACATGAAAAAATGCTCATCATCTTTAATCATCAGAGAAATGCAAATCAAAACCACTTTGAGATATCATCTAACTCCCATAAGACTGGCTCACATAACAAAATCCCCGGTGGGAGGAGGGGGTTTGGAGGGATCACTTCTGAGGTTTATCTTATAGGGGTACAGGTGAATCTTTCTAAGAGTAGAATGTGAACGTTTTAAAGCAATAACTGAGAAAATGACATGAAGGCTGTGTTGAGCAGTTTGATGGAAGTATTTCAGATTGCATGTGAAAACCCTACACTGTACCCCAGAAGTGCATTAATGTACATAGTTACCATTCAATTAAAAAAAAAAAACCAAAATAAATAAATAAATAAATAAATAAAACAAAATCCCCAAACTACAGATGTTGGCGTGGATGTAGAGAAAAGGGAACAATTGTGCACTGCTCATGGGAGTGTAAGCTAGTATGTCTCATTTGGAAAGAAGTATGGAAAATATTTAAGAATCTAAAAGTAGACCTGCTATTTGATCCTGCAATTCTTCTACTGTATATCCAAAAGTGTATATCTAGTGTATATCCAAAAGACCAAAAAAAAATCACTTTGTAACAAAGATATTTGCACCAGATTGTTCATTGCAGCTCAATTCTTTTTTTTTCTTTTTTTTTTTAATGTGATATCTCTAAGTCAAATTTTCTTTCTCTTGAGGGTGTTTGTTAGTGCTGTGTTTTATTTTCTTTCTTTTTTTTTATTGAATGGTAACTGTGTACATTGATGCACTTTGGGGGTACAGTGTAGTGTTTTCACACACAATCCAAGACACTTTCATCAAACTGGTTAACATAGCCTTCATGTAACTTTCTTAGTTATTTGCAGCTCAATACTTAATAGTCAAGTCATGGAAGAAGTTCAAGTGCCCATTGACCCATGAATGGATCAACAAATTATGGTATACATTTATCTTGAAATACTATGCAGCCTTCAAAAAGATGGAGACTTTACCTCTTTTATGTTTACATGGATGGAGCTGGAACATATCCTACTTAGTGAGGTATCTCAAGAATGTAAGAAAAATATCCAAAGTACTCAGTACTTTCATATGAAGAATAGATCACAACTATGGCCTACGATGGGGGGGCGGGAAGGGAGGAGAGGGAGGAGGTCAGATCAAGGGAGGGTGAAGGGTGGGATCACGCCTATGGGGAATAATGCATTATGATCACACCTAGGATACATGTTGGATCTATTAAGTATAGAGTATAAATGTCTTACACAATAATTAAGTAAATGAGATGAGATATATATAAATAGAGAGAGAGAATACATTACTTCAAATGCTGAGCTGAACAGAGGGGTAAATAATTTCCCTAGGCTCACAGCCCATTGGGAGCCTGTAGAACCCTTCCAAAATTTGGGAGAAAAACGGGAGCAAAGAAAGCACAGCTCTCTCTGGAATTGCAAAAATCATTCTTGTATTATCAAAATAGAAACAACACACACACAGAGGCAAAAATCACACATTAGACAACAGATACGAAGGACACAGTTGTGTTGAGAAGAAGAGATAGTTTCTCACAGAAGCTGTGATCCTCAGCTTTTATTTTATTACCTAGGAATTGCTTTGCCTTTCAGAGAAAGCAGGTGCCCAGTGTATGAAGGTGACTGTTCCTTGGGTGCCTCAGGTGTCCAAGTATAGACCCGAAATGTATCTGTTGGACATCTGACCAGGACCTCAGAACGTGGCTATGTGAAGAAGGGTCTTCACAGAGGTGATTAAGGTTAAGTGAGGTCACTAGCATGGGCCCTGATTCAACAAGACTGCTGTCCCCATAAGAAGAGCAAATCAGGACAGAGACACGCACAAAAGGATGACCCCATGAGGACACAGGGAAAAGATGGTGTCTACACGCCAAGGAGAGAGGACTCAGGAGGGACCAGCCTGAGACACCTGGATCTGGGTCTTCCAGCCCCCATGACTGTGAGGAAATAGATTTCTGTTTGTTTAAACTGCCCGAGTTTGTTTAATCTGTGGGATTTTTTTTGTGGTAGCCCAACTAGACGCATACTACCCTGTCTCTAGGTTCAAATCAAGAAAGCCCCTGGTTAATGCTTAGAAGATGAGAAGCTAATTTTCCAAGTGCAAGGGTAATTGCAGACTTCCGTCACATCTATTCTGCACCTGCAAGAATTGAAGACTCTTCTACTTCATGCAATTGCTGAAATGTGAGAGGGTTTCGATTCATAGTGCTCCAAAGCCTAAGTTACTCTCTACCAAAGGACCGTTAGATGTTTCCACAGCTCCATTAAAATCTCACATTGCATCTAGTTCCTCCCGTGCATCCCTGGCAACATGTAGAGGAAAATGCTTCTCAGATGTCTCCTCCCAAAATTTATCAAAATTTGAGAGATAAACAAAGCAACCAAAATCTAGCTTTGCTCCACCAATCCATCTTTTCTTTTCTATTTTCTTTTCGCTTTTCTTTTCTTTTTGTCACACAATAGCACTTTGTAGCCCTGGGTACAGTGCCGTGGCATTGTAGCTCACAGCAACGTCAAACTCTTGGGCTCAAGCAATACTCTTGCCTCAGCCTCCCAAGTAGCTGGGACCACAGACACCTGCCATAATGCCTGGCTATTTTTAGATACAGGGTCTTGCTCTTGCTCAGGCTGGTCTTGAACTCCTGAGTTCAAACAATCCACCTGCCATGGCCTCCCACATAGCTGGCATCACAGGTGTGAGCCACTGAGCCTGGCCTATTCCATTCTTTTTTGAGTCTCCAGTTCTACCTGGAGGCCGATTCTGGTAGCTTCATCCTACATAAAGTGGTTAAAATGCAGACGGGGAAACACCTTACCTGTGGAAACTTTTGTCCAGGTAATGAAAGGCGTGGGTTTCCCTGTTGCCTCACACGGGAACACAGCATCTGTCTCAGCAGTGATGGACACAGTCTGTGGGAATTTGGTGATAATTTGGGGCTTTTCCCCTGGCGTCCTGAATTTGGATGCAGGTGGTCCTCCAGCGAAGAGCTTCATGATGCTCTGATGGGAGCTTCCAGGGGACTGAACAGATGATGTTGCAAAGGAGACAGAGCTCCGAGTAGGAGAAACCAGCATGATAAGATGTGAGTTAGCTGAGGGGGATGTCGTGGTCCGGGGAGGGTGCAACAATGGAGGTGCCGGAGGACCAAAGTCCAAGTGAAAGGTGCTCTGGGAATGTATCCTATTATAGGGACTCGGGTTAACTATTCTCTCCCTCATCACTGGGATAGGAGAAGAGGATGTCTGGGGCTTCAGGGTTACTCCCAACTGTGAGAAAGAGAAGGTCCGGTTGATATAGAAAGGAAGTCTTCCATTGGAATATGGAGGAACTCTTGAGTTTGGAAGCCTGCCAATTGGATGTCTTGGTTCGGGGAGGTTATTATTTCCAAATGCCTTGGAGTAGGCATTGAATCGGTCCGTCCTTTGCTCAGTCAATTTGCTAGAAATGGTGGGTTTGGACACGTGAAGTGAAATAGGAGTTGCCGTTGTAGTGGATAACTTTGGAGTTGTGAAGAGTTTGTTCTCTGGCAAAGCTCTTGAAGGGGAGACAGTTACTAGTGGTCTGTTGGTCAAGTGATGGGAAGGCTGGAACGTTGCAAAATATTTGAAGAAGCTTTTTGTACTCATATCAGGTGGCCTCAATGTTCCCCTTGGTGGGGGAGGTTCAGACGGGACTCTGGATGGTTGAGAAGAAATACGAACACCCCCATCCTGGTGGAGACTATCCGGTATGCCTGGTAGACTGTTGTTGCCCCTACTACCAAATAATTCCTTTCCCAGATCTTGCTTTGGAGATAACTTAGATGTGACCTGGTTGGAAGAGGTGGTAGATAATTCATTTGGGCTCGATATAGCCTGAGTTCCTTGGGTGCTATCTGAGGGTGCTTTGGTTTCTGGGTTTCCCACGTAATTCAGGAAAACATTTCCCTCGGAAAATATAGATGTGGGAGATCTTCTTGAGCTGATAAGTGCTGGGCTAGGAGTGGTTTGTGTTAAACTCACAAGAGTTGTGGGTGGGGACGGGGAGGCTTGTTCCTCCACTGGGGCAAAAGCAGGGATGGCATTCTGTGGTTTGGTTTCAGAGTGAATAACAGCCACAGTGGTTTCGCCATGTTCTTGCCCTTGGTTGGTGGTTTCTGTCTGACCTGAAGGCAACTCTACTGTTAGGCTTGCAAGAGTTGTCAAATGACCAAGTGCTTCCTGTTGAAATGTAGTTGAGGCTTTAACAGAAGGTGAAGAAGGCACAGCTGTAACATCCTCATTCTCTAGCTCTCTCAAATGGGGAGCATCTGGAAGGTTATCTACAAAATTGGTGACAGGGGTGTCTGTCTGCAGCTTTCCAGCCTGTCCTGTCCTTGGGGGATGTCCTGTGCTTGGAGTGTCTGAGAAGTCTTTAGTAGAAGAATCTTCCTTCACTTCTCCTACAGAGGAGACCAGTGAGCCAGAAGTTGACATGACATTAATGACCAACTCACCGGGTACTGAAGTGTCTTTGATGTCTGTGACATCATCATCCCTAATTTCTTTTTTATCCAACATAGGTTTATATGTGGTTGGAAGTGTCTCTTGAGTGTCATGGTGAGATGGATGTATTTTTGTGGTGGTTGTCATGTAATTGTCCACTCTTGGGGCCTCATACGAGTCCCCCATTTTCAGAGCAACAGTTCTGGACCAAGGTCTACTTTCCAAAGTGGGAGTAATAACATTTTTAGATTTATTTTCAGGAGAAGGGCTAGGTGTGGATGTGGACTCTCTGGAGCTCATGGTAGAAGTGATATAGTGCTGTTTGTGTGGCCTCTTCTTGTGTTTCCTTCTTGGGGTTCTCTTGGACACAGATTCTGTGTTCCTGTCTATTTCCATCTGTTTTGGGAGATGAACTGTGCTGTCAACCCAAGATGTAGGAAGCAGGGAACTCTCCATTTGGTATGGAGTCTTAATTTCAGGTACTCGAGTTGGTTGAGTAGAAAAAGTCTCCATCGGGGCAGATGTTGTTGGCGGGGTTTGCTTATGCCGGTGGCGGGATTGGTGGGGACGTAACCTCCTCCTCCCGTTGTGTTTTCTTTGAGAAGAGTGAGTGGGCATGGCCAAGGATGCATTTGGTCTTGGTGTCACCATTGATGCTGTGGAGGTGTCTCTGTGCAATACAGTGCCAAGTGTGGTTTCTCCAGGATGGTTAATAGAAGACATGTTGTTCACACCCACTGCAGACTTGGGCAAGGTGATGGATGTGATGTCTTGCCCCTCACTCTGAGAACTTCTGGAGTTTGTGAGGTCTCCCTCTAGTGTATCTCCTCCCCATGGTGTCTTTGTAATCAGTTGTGTGTCTTGAGTGATAAAACCACTTTCTACAAGCTGAATGTCATCTATGAGTCCTTGCTGATGTGATCGGGCTGCAGTGTCTAGTCCCCCTAAAGTGGAATCTTCAAACGAGTCCATCGTAATGAGGTCAGTAACCCACACGGTGGGAGTTGGAGTAAAGCTTGCAAAGGTCAGTTCTCTCATCTTATCCTCACCTGGTTGTGAATTAGTCTCCAAATCTGGGTAGAAGGATTGCATAGTGCCCAACTCTGCCAAGGAGATTGCACTCAATGGAGGCTCGTAGTCATCTGATGTAGGATCAACCATGGACCCAACATTTGCTGTAGTCCAGCCACCTGTTGTTGTCTCTTCATTGGTTGACTCTTTGTAGACTGTGTCCAGGGTGGGCTCCCTGTAGACTGTGTCCAGAGCAGGAGAGGATTCATAAGGCTCAGTTATGAGTGTACTGTCTGTAATCCACTTTATGTCAACTTCCGTGGGAGATACCTCCTCAGTCTTCTCAGAAGATGCATCATCAGTAACTTCTTCCATTTGCGTGCTTGTGACTTCAGGGTCAGCAATAATATCTCCATTGTGGTGGTGCTCTAGTCCCATTCTGGGTGAGGAGAAGGTAGTCCAGACCTGCTCTTCCTCCCCAAATAGAGACATATCTGCTGAGGATTCTTTGACACTGTTTGCTGTCTGGACAGGCGAAGATGAAAGGGGAGAAACGGCAGGAGAAAGAGGTGTTTCTTCTGGACTCATGGATGGAGGAGTGGTGGTTCTGATGACCAGGGGTTCCTCTGTGCCTTTAGGAAGATTTTTCCCACGGACTCTGGCTAGAATATCTGCCCAGCGCTCTGGATTAATCTGTTTGTTTGCCATGTTTATCCTTCGCCTGGACTCGAATACCCTGCGACCTTCGGCAACATTGGTCTCTGGTTCTTTCTCAGAGTTCTTCCAGAGTTTCAGTTTTCTTCTCCCTTTCTTGACCTTCTTATCTCCCACGGTGCCTTCATCTTTCGTTTTGAGGAACATTTCTTGGTCCTTTGGATGGAGAGCTTTCCTCGATGTGGTATCTTCGTCCCCCATGCCTGAGGCCCCTTCGTCCTCCACCACATCTTCTCTCACTCTGGAAAGACCTTTGGCACCTGGACGTCTGCCTCTCTTGGAAGACCTGCCAGATCCTTTCTTACTCACGGTGACCCCCACGGTAAAATGGTCTGCCCCTTGCTGGTTGATGGCTACACATCTATAGTAACCACTATCGCTGACTTGGACTGTTGGGATGGAAAGAGCTCCATTGGGCAACATGTATGCATGGGATGTGTTTGCTGAATCATGAATTATCCTCTTATTTGGAAGAATCCAGCTAAGGTGGGCTTCGGGGATGGCCAAGGCACTGCAGGGCAACAAAACCAGCTCCCCCGGGTTCTTCTCAATTATCACTGTATCTCTCTCATGGGGCTGAGTGGAGGGAGGTTGCACAAGCACCCTATACACCATCTGGTCCATTTCATCCCTTACCTGAGCAATGCATTGGTACAAACCCGAGTCGGACTGCTGCATTGATTTTATCCTCAGCCAACCACTGCTGAGGACGGAGAACTTGTTGTCCTGGTCGTCCATGGGTGCCTTCAGGACAGAGCCATCTGGAAGTATCCAGAAAATGGACGGACTATCCGAAGCTTTCACATTGCAGCTCAGCTGGCAGGAAGCCCCTTCCAGAACTGTCTGAGCTCTCTGCACAGCTGTGCTTGGCTCAATCATCACCCAGCTTGGGCTCGAGCCTGCATCGTATCCTTGGCAGACATGGTTAGAGAATGCTGGGCGTAGTAGGACAGGAGCACCTTCCTGGCCGTACTCTGACGTCTGTTCAGTTGGAGGTCTATGTATGGCTGTGCAACCCATTCCGGTTCTGCGAGGATCTGGGCTTTGACGCCCGTGTAGTACAGGGCATCATCGTCAGCGTCCTGCCTATACTGATAGCTGACCTTGGGGTCTTTGCTGAGCATGAGTTCTCGGCGGAGCTTCACGGGGACCTCGCTGTAATACGCTATCAGTTTCCATAGTTTTTCATAGTTTTCCCGAGTCATCGGACACTCAAAGTCCAAGGCGACCGTGGCGTTGATCTCAATGTCTGGGGGATCTGTTTGGTTCAAGTGAATTTTGTACAAATCCGTGGGCTTCTTGATGGCACAGACCAAGTTCACCATGTTCCCGTGTTCATCGGTCATGTTCAAAGAGATATTCCAACGGGGGAACTGGAATCCTTCGGGGACGAGCTGGCTGTCACCGTCCTCCTCTTGTTCCTGCTCTTCCTCCAGACCTCGGCTTGTGTTCTGCCTCAGAGGAGACTCAATGGAGGGCTTCAAACAGGCAACGTCCTTGAGCTTGTGAATCTCTTGTTTAAACAGCTTCCTGGGACTGGCACACATGGCACACAGCTGACCACCTTCGTAAGCTTTGTCCTTCTTACACTTCAGAATCCCTATAAGACAGATAAGCAAACAAAAACACTGTAAGTCAAAGAGTTGAAGACTGGCATGATTTCCACACATCTCCATCTCTCAAGGGACAATACCACAAAGAAGGACTCCCACACACAAGTTGTCCTGAGTTTAAGGCTCAGTATCAGCCTGGTGTGTACTAACCAGCAAAGGCTCTGTGATTACTCAACAGTGAATAATAAACACTGATAGAAGTTCCCGCCCCAGTATTTTTACCTTAAAAAAAACCTAGTTCACAGCCTGAATGCCCGTCAGTCCATGAATGGATTAATAAGCCATGGTCTATGTACACCTTGGAATACTATGCAGCCATAAAAAAGACAGAGACTTTACATCTTTGATGTTTACCTGGATGGAGTTGGAACATATTCTTTTTAGTAACGTATCTCAATAATTGGGGGGAGGAGGTAGTATCCAATGTACTCAATACTACTATGAAACCAATGTATAAATACTTACACATTCATACGAATGATAAAACACAAACATAGCCTAGAAAGAGGAAGGGGTGAGGAGGGAGAGGGGAGGGCATTTGGTGAGATCTTACCTAACGTACACAAAGCAAGGGTACACTTCAAAATAACTAACAGCAAATTATAAATGTCTCACCACAAAAACAAGTAAGTGAAGTGATGTTTAGGTAATCAATTTGATTTAAGCATTCCACATTGTATATCAAATCTTCATATTGTACCCCATAAATGAATACCGTTATGATTTAATAAAACGTTAAATAAAAAACCCACTTTATCCATATATATTATGTAGTTGACATAACAGGAGAATGATTGTTAATAATTGCAACCCATGGGCGGTGCCTGTGGCTCAAATTAGTAGGGTGCCAGCCCCATATACCAGAGGTGGCAGGTTCAAACCCAACCCTGGCCAAAAACTGCAAAAATAAAATAAAATAAAATAACTGCAACCCATGATGATAACTGCAGGGGAAAGATGAAGCTTTGCTATGAAGCACATCATAGCTACAGTTTACTGGATTTTTCCTCTTGTAATATATATGGTGATTATAAAGTTTGTGTGCAATTTTAAACTGTATGCTGTTTTAAATTGCACACTATTTTAAATTGCACATGAACTTTATGGCCATCCTGTGTGTATTTTTTTCATTGCAGACAGTGTGTACTGTCATACACACACACACACACACACACACACACACATATATATATATATATATTTTTTTTGCTGTTTTTGGCCGGGGCTGGGTTTGAACCCACCACCTCCGGCATATGTGGCCGGCACCCTCTTCCTTTGAGCCACAGGTGCTGCCACACACACATATATATATATATATATTTTTTTTGCTGTTTTTGGCCGGGGCTGGGTTTGAACCCACCACCTCCGGCATATGTGGCCGACGCCCTCTCCCTTTGAGCCACAGTTGCTGCCCCTACTGTCTCATATTTTTAGCTTGTTCTCCCAGATGTGGATACTTTTGAATTCTCTTTGTCCATCCTGGGTGGCTGGTCTTGTTCACTGCCTCATCCTTCTCTGCGTGAGTCTTTACGGATGGACTCTTCCAGGATTGCGTGCTAAACATTTTCCATTTTTGGTCTCACCCAGGCCCTGTCCCTTTGCCGGTGATCACTGCCTACCTTACGAGCTTCTCCATGCCAAACACATTCACAGCCCAATGTCTATCTGACATGTCTGTTTAAGTATCACAAAGGCTCCTGGAACTGATATCTACAGAAAAAATTCTGTTCTTTCCCTGGCACAAACTGAGACCTCTCAAGCCTTTTCCTTGTGGGTAGACGGTGCTACAGTCTCTCCATTGGGAGGAACTTGTGAGCTGGAGAAAGTGCTTTTGATGGTCCTGTTGCAACCGGCCCACATCGTTCCCTTCCCAGTGGCAATAAGCCAGTCAAACTTCATTATTTATGAGTTGCGGCATTACAGGACCCCTGCCTGGCTTCGCTATTTTTTTCCTTTGCCCCACAGACCAGTTTTCTATGTGACTTTCAGAGGTAACACGTCAAAATGCAGATAGGATTATTTTATATATATCTTCTCAATAGGGAGCATATATGCACATATGCACACATCTATACACAAATAAATGTGTTCACAGATGTGCACACAGAGAGATGTGCCCACATAGAGATGTGTACACAAGAGAT